ATAAATCATTGGAGAAAACAGCAATGAAAGAAGCCTCAAAATGTTTGTCTATTGAGATTATTTAATGGATGGCAAAGCTATGCTATTAAGTAATTAACGGATGAAGCAAAAGGTTTCGCCACTTGGTTTGACTGTTGTGAATATGAATTGCCTTTCAACAATTTGAGGGTAATATTATTGCAGCAAAGATAAAAAAATTCACAGGAGGCCCTGTAGGGTACAGAGAATTTATTCGGTGATCCTTGGAAAAAGGGATGTGCCAGTGGTCCGTAGAGCCACAGGCAAATCCGTATGATGCAAGCAAGCTAGTTTCTACATGCTTTTGCACACCCCTCTCTATCTTCCATCCAGATTTTGGCAAGAAGTCTTATCAGACTTCAAGGACACAGTCTAGTCAGGCAAAAACATTTGGCGTGCAAAACAGGTCAGAGAAGGTGTCCAGTCCAGAGAGAAAGAGAGAGGCATGGGGAGAGGCAGTGATGGTCACTAGGGCTGGGCAGTATCTGCTTTTCAACATTGTGATACATCACCAGCTAAACATTGCAATATACCCATATACTACTGTGTCTGGAATAAGGATGGAGCCATGTAAAGGCATTGGCTGGCTTCATGGTTTTTCCTGCATCAGGATTTTTGCTAGCACCTGCTCTTGTGATTTGCTGCTCCTTGCGTGAGGCATGGGAGAGCTGAGTCGGCAGAGTTAACACTGGCTGCAGGAAGCGAGTGACACATTGGATGTCTTCACAGTTTCTTCCATATTGGGATTTTTGCATAGTGCATACACATACATACATACACACACACACACACACACATCATGATTTGCAATATATTGCCAAGTCAAAAAATATGAAACTGATACCACAACATGGATTTCAAAATAGTTTTGGACTATACAGTGGTACCTTGTTTCTCAAACTTAATCTGTTCCGGAAGTCTGTTCCAAAACCAAAGTGTTCCAGAACCAAGTCCCACTTTCCCATAGAAAGTAATGCAAAATGGATTAATCCGTTCCAGACTTTTAAAAACAACCCCGAAAACAGCAATTTAACGTGAATTTTACTATCTAACGAGACCATTGATCCATAAAATGAAAACAATAATCATTGTACTGTAGTATAAAATAAATAAGACAGTATTGTAGATGATAAAAATTTTAATCCCCCCCCTTACCTGGACTGATGATAGTCATTGTTTCGATGGGGGGGGGGACTTTTATCCATTTCTGCAGTCACACAATCAATCAATCAATCAATCAATCAGTGGCCGAACTGGCATCCACACAGTCACAAAAACAAATTAACCCAAAAAGCCTCAAAACAAAAAATGCAAAATAAATAGCAAAACCAAAAGCACCAAATACAGTATAAGCTCCAAATATCACCTTAGAACACTGCAATCGGAAATGGAAGACTTGAATTACAATGGGAGGATGCAAATTAGCAGTGCAACAGGAAATACAGGGGGACTCAAAACAGAGCACATTCAGCTTATGAAAAAAAGTTTGAAAGCCAGAACACCTACTTGCGATTTTGCAGCATTCGGGTTCCAAGTTGTTTGTGAACAAAGCTGTTCGAAAACCAAGGTACCACTGTATATCACTCAGTTGTAACACCCATCATGATTCGTGATTCCCCATCACCCCAGGGAGGTCTCCTGAATGGCTGGTTTGTTACTGAAGTACCATAATTGGAGAAAGGGACATTTTTGTCCTTTTGTGTATAGTTTTCATACCTACTGTATTCTATTTTGGAAGCTCCCCTTTCTCTCTGTTATTCTGTATGTTTATTTTCCCCTTACATCTATTAACTCAGGTTCAGCTTAATATTTCCCTCTATTTCCTCTCATTGTCCTTTTTCTTGGGTATATCTTTTGAACCTATTTCAAATTGAGCCTTCGTATTCATAGCCTCTATTTCTTCCTCTGTGAAACTATACTCCTTTGACTCTCAATTGTTTCTCTGACTTTAACCTCTCCTGAGTCTGTCCCTTTTCTCTCTTATTACCTCTCTGGTGATTTTTGCTGCTTCCTTTACAGTTGAAAATAAACATTTTTAACCCCTGCTGGGATTCTTTGGACCCAGTACCTTAAATGCATGACATACCCCAGCTTCTTAGAAGAGAGACAGAGAGAGAGGACTTTGAAGCTGTCTGCTTCCATTGTAGGAATGTAGGGTTACCTAGCAATTTTGGGCCTTTTTGTTCTGTAAGTTGAAAGAAAGCTTTAGCTATTATTTTGCCTATTTAAGACATGCATTTTTCTCCTCTTGTTTTTATAATTGGCCCTAGCTGTGTATCCTGGTCAGGACAGCCTTTTTGACAGATTACCAGTTTTTGTTAGTTTAGTCATGAATCACACTTTTTTTTACTGCAGCTTCTGGATTGTGGGGGAAAACACCAAGTTCAGAAGATTGTATTTATTTCTACAGCTTACCAAGTTGTAAAACCTGAGTGGTGTGCAGAAGTAGGGTCCAAAGACAATTGTCATTGCATATATAGGGCCCTGATATCATTACACAAACTGAGTTATCAGCTGCTCGGTCTGTGACTATAGAACCAAAGGGACTATAGAATCAAGGATAGAGATTCTGCCTGGAGGTGGAAGTAGATGATGAAGAAGAAAGCGAGGAGACCCCCAAAGGCCTTGTGTAGAGAATCAGCCCCCGAACAGCCAAGGAGTAAATGAGGTAGGAAAGACACAACGTTCCTGTGGTTGTAAATTTAACTTTGATAGTTTAAATTGAAACTGGGTGAGGGAGAGAGGTTCATTCTAAAATGGCTAAGAAAATGTGGAATACTATTGGAACGGAGAGCATTTTCTGGCTCTTCGCTCTCTACCCCCTCTGTAGCAGAGAACCCCAACCTTCAGGCTGCACTTAGTGACCTTTTCCCTCTTGAGCAGGGACATGTAAAATTACCATATAATGATCCTCCTTCACCTAAGAGCTCAATTGTAGATGGGACTTTTTCTCTAGGTAAATTCTCTTAGTCAATAATCCCCACTATGGTGCTCTTAAGGCTCCAGCTGGTGTTTTGTAATTTCCCCAGGCCAAGTGGTGAATTAATACAGTCGGAAAGAAATTTCTTCTCCTTCTCCTTCTTTAACAGATCCTTAGTGACATAGGGTAGGTTTCTTATGCATCTTAAATATAAAGGAAGCCAAGTGCTTGTTTTTTGAATACTCTAATTCAAAAGTAACCTTTACTACAACCTCCACAATAACTTGTATGTTTAGACTGCAGAATGGATATATAATGTTATGAGGGGAAGCATTCATTCAGCAGTGTAAGGGGATAAACAGTCCAGCACCTTTCAGCCAAACTCCTATAAATAGACTGGCAAGCACAATGAAGCATTTGTATCACAAAAAGATACATTTTTTTTCCACAAATGGTCTTTATAAATCACTGGACAGACTTCATCAAGCTGGGATGGTGTAGATTTCCTCCCTTGTCAAGAGCATGTTGGGAGAGCAGACGGGCTTTGAATCCGATGGATTCAAGATCTCCCCTGACATGCCCACAACTTGTCCCTTTTCTACCCCTACAGCTCTCGGAAAAGCCATAGCAGGAAAATGAAAGCAGCAGAATTTGCAGCTGCAGCTCTGAGCTATCTTGATAGCAGGTCTTCTGACGCTTGCAAACTAGGGTTGTGCAATATATCAACATATCAACTAAACCCAGTTTGAGGTCCATATTGTGATGCCAGTTTCATAATTTTTTCACCTGGCAATATATCGTAAACCATGATGTGCTATGCAAAAAATTGCAATGTGGGGGGAACCATGAAGCCAGGCAATGTGTCACTTGCTTCCAACAGCCCTTGTTAACTCTGCCAGCTCAGTTCTCCCCAGCCTTCTGCAGGGGGCAACAAATCACAAGAGCAGGTGCTGGCAAAAATCACAATGCGGGGAAAACCGTGGAGCCAGCCAAGGCCTCTACATTGCTCCATTGTTATTTCAAACATCGTGATATATCAGTATATTGCAATGCTGGTGATATATCAAGATGCTGAAAACCAGATTTTGCCCAGTCCTACAGCAGACCTTTCTCTTCACAAATGGAGAGAGCGGTTTGGGATACTCAGCTCCCCCACTCCTTAAATTTGCTCCCTCAGGGGAAAATATTGCTCTTTTCTTCAATTTTAAGTACGATCCAGTGCATCGTGCTGCTGCTGTATTGATTTGTAGGCTCTTTTATTTGTTTAAACGTGTTGTGTTTATATTGACGAGTTCACGTTTCTACGTGGTTAGCTGCCTTAGGAGTCAGGATGGTGATGGTTTATAAGCGTTTTAATTAATATAAAACAAGGAGTCCTTCCATATTATTTTTTCTTCATTACGGAATATATATATATATATATATATATATATATATATATATATAATGCCTACATCTCTGCCCTTTTGGAAAATATGCATCTTTTTGGAATTTAGACTTTTACTGCATGCATTTATTTCATCATACATTAATCCGTAAATACTTCCCATCTCAAATACAATTGCTTGGCTTGTTCTTGTTGTTCGTGGCAAATTTGATAATGGAAAATCATTATTCACAGTAAAAAATGTTTGTTCTTCATTCTCTCTCTTCAATTACAGCCCATAATTCAATCAAACAGTCGTTTTGGGAAAGCAAACAAAAACAAATAATTAAAGAGAGAGGGGGGAGAGGGGAGAGAGAGAGCGAGAGCGAGAGAGATTGCAGTTTATACAAGTGTATTGAAGTTAAAGGGCTATTTTGCACATTTTGAGCTTCACTGGCCAATACAGACTAATAGTAAGAGAAATAGACCAGCAGAGACATAAACTCTGAATATGACACATCCTCCATTCCACAGAGGTGCTAGTTAGAAAGGAGCAGGGGAATTCCAATTATAGAATCATAGAGTCAAAGAGTTATAGAATTTGGACCCTATAGTTCAAACCATAGAATCGTAGACTTGTAGAATTGGAAGATACCACGCCGGCTATGTAATCCAACTCCCTGCAACTCAGGAATCTTTTGCCCAATGTGGGGCTTGAACCAGTGACCCTGTGATTAAGAGTCTCATGCTCTACTGACCGAGCTATCCCATATATACTTAATTTTATTCAGAGAACCCACATCCTTCTATGTCTATGCAGTAGCATAATATACTGTTTGGGGACAAGTTAGACACAAATCCAAGACCAGAGATTGAATGGGGAACAGAAAGAGGGACAAGTGGTTGGGGTCTGAAGACATGTATGGTGTGGTGGAATGAAAGTTGAGGAAAAGAAGCAGAGGTATCAGAAGCCAACAGGGGTGCCAAATTGAATAAAATATTGTGGGCCCCAGATAAGCCCCGCCCTGCGTAATTGATCCCGTTATGTGGTGCAATCACCCCATTTGAATGGCAATGCCCATCAACTGGGGGGCGGCCCTCTCAAATATTTTGTGGAGGAGCCAATCCCCTTCGGCCCCTAGAAGTTGGCTCCTATGGAAGCAGCAACGGGTGTATGTTTGTCTGTTACTCTACCTCCTATCAGCCAGTTGTATCTATGCCATCTACAGCCTAGAATCCCCCATAACCAATGAAGTGCTTCTTAGCTATCTATCTACCGTATTTTTTGCTCTATAAGACACACCCGACCATAAGACGCACCTAGTTTTAGAGGAAAACAAGAAAAAAAAAATCTCTCCCTCTCTGCGCAGCGCCTCTCCAGCAAAGCGAGAAGAGAAATGGAAGGGGCTCCGTTTCTCCTCCCGCTTTGCTGAAGGGGCACTGTGCAGCTTTCCCTCTCACTGCACAGAGAGGGAAAGCTGTGCAGCACCTCTCCAGCGAAGCAAAGTCAGAACAGCAAAAGGAATCGCTGCGCAGTGAAAGCAGTGATCCCTCTTGCTGTTCTGGCTTCTGGGATAGCCATGCCAAGCCTCTGCAGGGCAGGGAGAGTGTTCCTCCCGTTGCCCTGAAGAGGATTCGCATGGCTATCCCTGAAGCCAGGAGAGCAAGAGGGATCGGTGCGCACCGATCCCTCTTGCTCTCCTGGCTTCAGCGATAGCTGCGCAGTCTGCATTAGCTCCATAACACACACACACATTTCCCCTTACTTTTTAGGAGCGGAAAAGTGCGTCTTACAGAGTGAAAAATACGGTAGTTCTTTCCCAAGTTCTGAAGATGAATGATAGCTCAGACATAGGTACAAAAATCCACCAATTGGTATTTTTGGTAAAAGTTCATGGGAACTATGTGGATGTCCAAAACAGCTCTCAAACCCTGGTCTACCTGGGTTTGATCAAGCATGAGATACACCACTGGCAGAAGTCATTTAAGGCCCCTCCAGACAAGTGCTTTATTATGGGAGTATTCTGCAACATGATATTGACCCAGCAATGGTGCATTAGTGGTGGATGTTCTCTGCTTCATTAGATGCTCTGTGATGCTCCCCAAATGCTGCTATGTTATTTCTGTCCATAGTGCAACAAAAGCAGGACAAAAATAAACCAGAACATTTGTGGTGTAAAAAGCTATGGGATTTCAGCAAGCAGTTACGGTATATTCACTAATTAGAAAGGAAGGAACATGACTATCCTGAAACTTTTGCAGATGCATATACTAATCCTATAGAAAAAGTGAAGATATTAGCATAAAATGCATTCTTTTAAAAGTGCAATTGCTGATACTTTTTGTCCAAAAGAAAGGTATGGCATCCATAGGGAAGTTTATTTTGAACTCATCATCATCATCATCAATATCGTGAATCTAAAAAGAAGATAACATAGAAGTAGCTTCTACTAAATGCAACTTCTGCATTGTGATATTTATGTATTCAGATACAGTGGTACCTTGGTCCTCAAACTTAATCTATTCTGGAAGTTTGTTCCAAAATCAAAGCATTCCAAAACCAAGGCTTGCTTTCCCATAGAAAGTAATGCAAAATGGATTTACCCATTCCAGACTTTTAAAAACAACCCCTAGAACAGCAATTGAATGCAAATTTTACTAACGAGACCATTCATCCATAAAATGAAAACAATAATCAATGTACTTCACTATAAAATAAATAAGACAGTATTGTAGATGATAAAAATGAAAATTATTATTATTTTCTTACCTGCACTGATGATAGTCATTGTTTGGATGGGGGGGGGAGGATTTTATCCATTTCCGCAGTCAATCAATCAATCAATCAGTAGCTGAACTGGATTCCACACAGTCACAGAAACAAATTAACCGAAAAAGCCTCAAAAACAAAAATGCAAAATAAATAGCAAAAACAAAAGCACCAAACTTAATCCATTCCAGATTCCAGTCTGTTTGATTTCCAAAATGTTAGATAACCAAGGTGCAGCTTCTGATTGGTGTAGGTGCCCTGGAAACAATAGCCGACAGCCGCATTGGACTTTTGGCTTCTGAAAAAACTTCGAAAACTGGAACATTTACTCAATGGTGGAGCGCAGGCAGGGGCGGGGTTGTTGCACATCCCGGGGGCGTGGCACGCTGCCTGGGGAGGCATGGTGCCCAGCGTGGGGGGTGGGGTGGGCAGCCATGATGGCACCCCACCGGGATCACGCTGCTGGGATCGTGCATCCTCTTGCTCCGCCAGTGCACTTACTTCCAGGTTTTTGGCGTTTGGGAACCAAGGCGTTTGAGAACCAAAGTACCACTGTATAAGACAACTGATGTGTTTGTCATATGTACTACATAATGTGGATGAAGTGTACATATCTTATGTCTTTTACAATATTAACGAGTGCTTTCTGGATGCACTCACATTGCTGTACTCGTCTGGATTTGTACTGAGACTCAGATGTCTAACCACCGTACTACAGAGAATTCTGCAGGAATCGTGGTCTGTAAAACTAGCAAGCAGGTAGACAGATGAGGACACCAGTATCTATAGCATTGGCTGGCACTAATTCTGATCAGCCTATTGAAGTCAATAATAATCTTGGTTCACTTCACCAAAAAGGGAAAAAAAATAAGTACATCATGATACAATTCAAGAAGCTGTCTGTTCAAGGCAAACATCATTTTTAGAAAAGAGATAGCTGTGTTTTCAGCTGGGCACAGATGCAGCATACAAAATTCGGCTTGTAGAATTTGTGATAGCAAGGTCAGAAAGGTCAGAGGCCTTGACAGACAAATTTGTTACAAGCGGAGTTGCACCACAAAAATTATTCCTTTCCTTTCCTCCCAGTCTGCTCTTATTTTAATACTGAGCACGGAAAAACCCAGCTGCTGAATCCATGCAGCCACCCCTGAAGTTGTATGTAAAAAGTTTAGAACCTTCTAAAGCAGGGATAGGAACTGCCAATTTCTGTATTCCCGGGGACCATAAGATTCCCCAGGCACAATATGGGAGCCTGAAACGTATTCTGCTGCACAATTTCACCTCCAGAGCTATTGTTATGCTTCAGTATAAATGCAGTGTCATCTAACAATTAGGGCTAGAGCACTGTGGGGCAGGTGTGCTCAGGCAGATCCTGAATATGACATATAAAATCCCAAGAAAAAAATGTGATATTAAATGGCACACTATCGTCATTCCTTGCAATCTGTATGCCGTGTTTCTCTTTTCCTTTGAAGTGAAATTGTGGACAGACATATTATTACATGTTGTCTAAAAGCTGGTAAAGGGATTATGGGCCAGATAAAATGATTTTGACAGCCAGATTTGGCCATGGACCATCAGTTGCTATCTTGCTATTTTTCTAAATGCTATGAATGATGACATCGCATTTTGTGCAGCATAAACATCAGCTTGCTTGACATCTGGTGGAAAGTTTTTGCAGGCACCGGCAGAGGAATCTGAAGCCCAGCCGGGCAGCAGTGGAATGAGATTGAGGAGCAGAGCCTCTTGCCGTATCTATAGACACATTGATCATGCTTGCCGGGGCAGAAGGCAGGGATCGGGTCAAAATCTGCTCCAGGGCATGCCAGCGCAGAGCTCCCACAGTGACTGGACCCAAATCAGCCCTGATAACATCAAGAGATGCTCTGAACAACAACAAGCAACACGTCAGCTAATAATATACTGGCAATATTTTTATAACACTACACTGATTGAAAATTCATGAACAGAAGACATATAATATGTGCATGGAGACACAAACTAATAAGAATCAAATAAATGTTCCATGAACAGGAATGGTAAGAGTGGTAAGTCACTGTCAAGGATCACTGAAATGGAGGCAGAATGCCTTTCCACAGTCAATATCCTCTCTAAAATATAGTCAGAAGTGAGTTGCACGGTGGTGGTGCTATAGGCACACCACTACAAATGTGAGATGATGGGCACTCCAAACATTGCAATAGGGTGCTCTGAGCACAGCAGCAGACAGTACAGTTATTCCAGGATAATGAACTGTTTCAATGATAAATCTTCATCAGCAAATTAGTAGTCCCCAAAGGTACATCAAATAGCCATGGATCAGCTATGACTGAAAAATGTCGTGTTCTGTTTTGCAACATCAAGAGATGGTCTGGTGATAATGGAATAAATGATACAGAGAGGGAGGTGCAGCCCAAGATAGGAAAAGAGGTGGTAAGGGAACAGCTAGCTACATTAAATGAATTCAAATCTCCTGAAGAAAGGAGATTAGGAAGAACTTTATGAAATACCTCAAGGACTGTCTCTTTCTATATGAAACTACCCGGACCCTGAGATCATATTCTGAGACCCTTCTTCGTGTGCCTCCTCCTCGAGAGGTCTGCAGGGTGGCAACATGAGAACAAGGCCTTCTCTGCAGTGGCTCCCCATCTGTGGAATGCTCTCCCCAGGGAAGTTTACCTGGCACCTTCATTATACACCTTTTGGCGCCATGGAAAAAAGGTTCCTTCTTAACTAGGCCTTTAGTTAATCTGATTGACATCCTATGCCCTTTTAAAATGTGGCTCTTTTGGGGGAGGGAGGGGGTTATTGGGTTGTTGTTTTTATTTTGATTATATATATATATTGTGGTTTTCATGTTGAACCACCCTGAGACCTCCGGGTATAGGGCAGTATATAAATTCAATAAATAATAATAATAAATGGTGGTAAGAGCTGTTTGAAAGGGTAATTGACTACCTATGAGGGGTTTGGACTCTCCTTCACTGGAGGATTTTAAAT